TGTCAGTCAGTCACATGTGAAACGTGGTGTAAGTGGAGTTATTTTTAAGCGAAGCGATATTGCTTAACTAAGTGAAAAGTTTCTTTTGTTTTCGTGAGCATCATGGAGCCCTCTTAAGTTCATCAATCTTCAGGAAACCAGAACAGTAAGCCTATAATTAATTATGCTAAAGTTACTGTGCAATCTCTCTTTCCCAAGAAAAAAATGCTGTCATCGTAGATTCGGCAAATAGTGCTCCAATTGTTGAATTTATTGAAAAGTTATCTACCAAAGTGAACCCCTCTCATATCAAGTTTGCCTCGAAAATATCGAACAACAGACTGTGTGTTTATCTATCCAGTAAGGAAATCGCAGATGATCTAGTCTTCAATCATAAAAGCATCGTTGTGTCTGATCAAGTCTTCCCTATAAGACCTTTAATTTGAAGGAACAAAATAATTATTCTCTCAAATGTTTGTTCAAGTATCCCTCATCAAGTGATAGAAGAAAAATTATTAACTTTCGGTGTTGGAACTGTAGTACAGTTAACTTTCCTTCGTGCTGGATTTAATAACCCCTACTTGAGCCACGTCCTCAGTTTTCGCCGTCAAACATTTGTTTCACTTGATGATGAACATAAATTACCTGAATCATTTCAATAATTTCCCCCACTGGATACATGTAACCCCTGATGTTCCTATTTGTTTCTTATGTAAAAATCAGGGCCATATTGCTACAAACTGCCCAAATCTATGTAATTCCCAATTACCTAATACCCTACCTCTCCTTACGGCAGAAGAAATCACAGAATCATCTAATGAGATTATTGTTAATTCTAATTTTCTCCCGAAGTATTTGAACCAACACTTCCCGAAAGCAATAAGGTGAATGAAAATTCTAGCCTTAACCTTGCCCTTAACAGCTTCCCCCCGGTACCTACCACCCTCCCCTTGAGTCGGCTGCGAGAAACCTTGTTGCCTTGAAAGGAAACTCAATGGTAGTTGTCCTTGCCTGCAACCCTGTCACATTAGAGACCGTTATCTACTGTAAACTCGAACTACAGAAATGGTTAACAAACAAACAGATAGCGAGAAAGAACTCCCAGACAATAATTCGGAAACCTTTGACATGGAAGAGAAAACTACTGAATCCAGAGAAAAAATAAATAAACCTTCCAAAAATAAGAAAAAAGCTATAACTTCTTCTGAAAATATTGACGATCAGTCGTGGTCCAATACTAAAACAATATTAGAATCTCCTAAAGCCCTACTAATAAAAGCGTGGTGTAACTTGGGTATAACACGCGTTTTCTGGGAGTAGTTAGTTCTAGCTTAAGAACGGTGTAAGAACGGAATAACCTTTTACTAATAATGGCGCCTAAACCGTGGAATAACTACACCTTCTCTAAACCGAAAATAATGCTTGGCAACGTTGCTTCTTGTAGCATCTTTGTTGAGTTTGCATATCCTCTGCTAGGCAGTAGTGAGCGACGACATCCGCCGTTTGACTACGAATGACCGAGTGTTAGCGAGGTGAAGTTTATGGTGTGCGACGGACGTGTGTCTTCCTACTTTTAATATTATCAGGTTATTGATTGATTATTGTTTTTAGCAGGGTTTTAATAGTATTTTATATTAGTATATATTAAATTGCATTTTGTTAATAATTATTAAGCAATCGAACGATGGCTGAAAAGCGCGCGAGGAGTGTAGACTGGGATAGTGAAGAGAAGGTAAGAAAGATTTTGTTTTGATAAATATTTTGCCATTGTTTTTTGCAAGTGTGATGTTTGAATGTGTTAACATTTTCTGTTTTCTTTTCCTTTCCAGCAACTGCTGAGAGAAATAATGAAGCAGCATTTAAATGTATTGAATGTGCAAGCTTGGCAAGAAATTACGAAACAATTTAATGATGTAAACTTTCGGAGTAGGGAATTGAAACAAATTTATAATTAATGGAAAGTGATGAAAACCAAGTCAAAGAAAGAAATGGGGGAATTCAATAAACGTATTAGATTGACTGGCGGGGGGCCAAAGCCAACAAGTTTTTCACACGAGACTTTAGAAATGGTGAGTCTGGATCCCACAGGATTTTTATATCCTCAGAATCCATATGACTCTGACAATTTTGTGGTATCTTGCGAACCGCAAATAGAAACAGGATACTGTGTTGCATCCAGCTATAAATATTTTTGCGTTGGAAAAGAGCGGTGCTGCAATTGCCTCCAGTTCATGCACTTCTTTTGCTGCTGCTGCTGCTGCTGCTGGTGTTGTGAGTGAGTTTTGTAGTGATGCAGAACTACTCACAGCTACTACTGTGCCCCCATGCAACTGCTAGTTCCACTGCTTCCAGTGATGCAGGAGCTGCTGCTGCTGCTGTTGTGGTGGTGGTGGTGCGGCTACCGCTACCGACTACGCTATTGCTACCGCCGCTGCTACCGCTGCCGCCGCTACCGCCACGTCTGTTGCTGGAGCTGCTACTCCGTCATGATTAAGAAGAGCTCAAAAATTTGGGGAATTTTTCAAGAATTTTTTTTCAAGAAAAAAGTTTTGAGTCAATGGAACTATACAGAGCTAAAGAAAATGAGAGATTGGAAAAAGAACATTTGTTAAGAGTGCAGTGGGCAAAAGAGCAGCATGATAAGTTGATGAGCATTTTGAGTATGCAAGAAGAAATATTGGATAAGCAATTGCAGAAGTAAATTTTAATAAAATTATTTTTTCACAAATGTATTATCTTTTCTTTCATTTCAGCCTAGTGAACCAACGATTAAGTGAATTATATGTAAATTGAAATTTTTGTAGCAAGTTAATGAGTATTTAAATGAGTCACTTTCAAAAGCCTAGATTCCATGGCAAGTAATATTTGCAGGAGAAAGAAAACAATATATTTAGGTTATGCTGAATAATGTTTGTTTTTCGTTTCGCAATTAACATAGTACGATTTCGGGGAAGTAGTTTTCAAAGTTTTTTCTATAGGAAAGTTGTAAACCTATATTTAAAATTTTAAATTAGGAGCTTTTTTTACCATTGTGTTGGAAGTAGAATTAATAAATAGTTAAATAATTGAATTGTTTTTTGTGGCTTCAAAAATTTTGGTTTAGGCGCTATAACAAATTCTCTAATCTTACTGATAAGTACTGATTAAACATAATGTTAAGCAAAGACTTAGTAGCATATTACAAAGTTGAGAATATTTCTGTGGTATTTCTTTTTGGAGGGATGCACAGCTGGCCAAAATGATTATAGTAGATTTTAACTTAAATTCCAAACTTGTGAACATAATTATTGTTATTATATAGTCTTCTGAGAATGAGTTTAAAAAGGTAAGATTTTTGGTAGTGTGGTCTATTAATTTTTAGAATGGATTTCTCATATCAGCATGTAGTTTTAGATGAAAGGAGGCATTTTGGAAGGTAATATAGGAGGGGCTTCTGATAAGACAAGTTAATTAAATTAAAATGAATGTTGAACAATATTAAACTACATTAATAATACAAACAATGACTTTTATGGGCTCAGAACAATTTGACTTTATAAATGGACATTTTCATGTTCTGAGCAGTTTCAGAATTTTACAGGCAATTTCAATTTTTTTGCATAAGATTTAAAACCAACTTCTGAAATTACCATTATAGAATTCATGACCATGATGTAATGAGGAATGTAGTTCATGAGATTTGGTTGGAGTGGAATCAATTAGTTAGCAGACGTTTTAGAAAATTAATTCAATCATCAGGGCCAGTGTTCAAAAACAAGGCATGAAGACATCAATATGAATAAACAATAATACAATATGATATGCAAAAAATATAAAAATGTATACACCATAACTCAAATTTTCATATTATTTAGAAAGGTGTGTACGTTTTTATATTTTTTGCAAATCATATTGATGCCTTGTTGATTTTTGTACACTAGCCCTGATGATGGAATTAAAAGATTCAAAAACTTTGGCAAACTAATTATTTACACTCCGACCAAGTCCTGTTAACTACATCCCTTATCTGAACTACTACACAAAGTATGGGAGGATGTCATTTTAGCACATTCAATACAAACTTCAATCTCAATTTCTTGCAAAGGACAATTGTGCAACACAAAATAGTCAGCATAAAGCCTAAATTTAATAGACAGTTCTGTGCATATCAGCTATTAAAATTTTCATAAATAACTAATGAATCCAAAATTTTAATCCATATTTATTCAACAAATTATCACCCTACCTTTCTAAAGAGTATAAAATTTTCCTGATTAAATAATAACATAATAGAATGTGCAATTTCAGTGAAAGAGAGCAAAAAGTTTTGCAATCTCTTTTTATACAAGGTCTTAATCATCATACTTTTGTAATCTGCGTGATTATTTAGATATATTTCACAGAGCTCAGGAGGTTCCTTTTTACCACTTTAAATTGAAATTGACTCAAAAAAGTGAAATATTTATATGAAGTTGATAGGAAAATATGATTCTGCAATAAAATTCTGAACAATTTTCTGTATTCGTATTAAAAACCTTTCTACTATACCTTCTTTAATATTTTTTCCCTCAGGGGTTGAAAAGAGGTATGCTCCATAGAATGCCAACAAAAAGTTCATATTCATATTATTTGTTCAAATGCTTATTAATCCACATTAGGAAGAATTACATGAAATATGAAATTATTTTAAAATTTTCTTAGTTCAGACAAATATATTTTTTGGGATATATGAATATTGGAACAAGTATTGTTTTGCTACCACAAAGCAATTAGAAACAAAACTATTATTATCAGACATATTCCAGGTAAAACTTTTATTTACACTCACTTCACTTTTACAATTAAATTAATATGCATATTTCCTTCTCTAAAAATTCTTCTCTATAAAAGCTACCCGAACTGCTGCTCCTCGACCTGGAGCTTGAATTGGTTGCAATTCCTGTGCTTCAACCACTTCGTCTTCAACAGGAAATTCCTCGTCGTTAAACATTATTGCTATATTGTGCAATATTGCGAGTGCCACAATATATAGCTTTATATTTTCAAGGGAGTTTCTGAAGTCTGTTTGGAGACAACGAAATCGGCTTTTCAGCACACCAAAACATCTCTCCACAGAGTTCCTTGTGCGCACATGCTTTGCGTTGTAGAGCACCTCCTTTCTTGTCCTGGGCCTCAACACTGGGGTGATAGTAAGGTGGGCCTGCGTACCCAGAATCTTCCAAAAGCCTCCCATGAAATTGCCCACCTTCAAATTTCAGTTTCAAAGCAGATTCATTAAATATTCGGGAATCATGTGCACTCCCATACCATCTTGCCACAATGTCCATTATTTTTAATGAAGCATCACACACAACTTGTACATTTAATGATGGGAAATTCTTCCTAATTACATAATAGTGCCCTTCATTGCCTGGTACATGTGGGATGAAGATGTGAGTGCAATCAATGCACCCGATCACACTTTTGAACCCACAAATATCAGAAAACATGTTGATTTTCTGCACCTCTAGGTCTAAATTTTCAGGCATTCGTATATACGTCTGCCTCTTTTCGACAATAGACAGTGCCACTCTACGGCACACATTAGTTAGAGATTGTTGACTTATCCCATGCAAGTCAGCAGAATCGTCTTCAATTTCATTTCTTCCCCAGCAGCAAAGAGCAGTTAAAATTTGTAGATCAGGAGAAAGTTTCCCTCCCCTTCCGTCAGATTTTAACTGTGCCCCGAACAAGTCTGTTAATTGTATTGCTCCTTCTTTAAAAAATCTGCATTTTCTGCGGAATTCTGCATCAGAATATATCTCCAATGGACTCACACGTGCCCGGTTACTCTTCTTCTTCCTCCTAGGTTGTTCACACTCGAAGATTTCGTCCATAAACAAAACTTCTTCCACACTTTCTATATCTCAAATATCCGAGAGAAAAAAAAATTGATTGAAAAAAAAAATTCACAGTTCCAATCGAAGCAGCCAAGTCAACAAATATCCGAGAGAAAGTACCAAAAAACGAAAGCAAAGGTCGAAATATATATGAAAAGACTTAAAAGAAACCACGAAACACACGCACGAACAGCTGAACACAAACTGAAGACAAATGACTATTACGAAGCGCTTGTTTTAGTCGCGATTTTTTCTTATTCCACACTTAAACTACGTGTCTCCTAGGTTTGGCGGTTGCCAAGGAAACTACACCTCACTTATTACGCGATCGAGTTAGTTCATGTTTATTGGTAGGAGTTTTAGATATTCTCCTGTTATTCAGGGTTTAAGCACAGAATAAATTTTATACCACTTTTATTGGTAGAGCTGCTAATGTACACTACCCACTAAATATACATCAACTTCAAATTTTCTTTGACAGAACGAAGGGTAATAACTGTACTGTAGCAATTGCCAGAGAATTCACAGATGATTTTACAGCTTTAACAGCAATGTTAAGAGCTGTTCACCAATACTTACCGAACAGGGGTGTGAAAAATAGATCCTCAAGAATCATCAAAAAATATATGATGCAGATATGAAAGAAAAACCTTATGCTAGAGAAGATTCAGAAGAGCAGTAATGTAACCTTTTCCATTATAGCCATTCTAGCTGAAGTGAATATAAAATAAACAAATTCAGATATTTACAATGGACATTATTCAATGGAATTGTAACGTTTTTTTGCAAGAAAACCATTCATCAAGCTTCTCAATAACAAATTCAAACCAAAAATAATCTGCTTCACAGAAACAAACTTTAAATTTCAAAATTGTGGCTCATTGTTTGGATTGAGATCTACATTTTGTAATAGAAATAATTCCCACATTGTCAGTGGTGGCGTTGCAATTTATACTAAACCAGAATTTTTCTTACATAATGTTCCTCTTCAAACGCAACTGGAAGCAACTGCAGTTAGAATTATAATGAACTTCACTGTCACAATCTGTAACTTATATTTACCTAATAGCCAAGATATACACATCTCTGAACTTGATGGTTAAGCAACTTCCAAAGCCATTTATCATCATGGGAGATTTTAATTGCCCCAATGTATTGTGGGGATCTTCTAGTACAGATCGAAGGGGCAGAATCATTGAGGAGTGGCTTGGCAAGAATGATATTATTCTTTATAATACGGGCAATGATACCTATTTTTCTACTAGACGTGCAAAAGGCAGTGTTATTGATGTGACATTTTCATCCAACGACATTGGAACTCATATTTCTTGGTTTTCTAGTAATGATATTTATGACAGTGATCACTACCCATTGTTTATTCACCTCTCTGATTTTCAACCATACTCTATTACCCATACTCATCAAAAGTGGATTAGTACTGAAGCAAACTGGAACTTATTTCAATCATATGTCGATAATAACATCAACTAACTTCCCGATATAAATGAGTAGGCACCAGATCGGACTAACCAAATCATCCAAGCCTTTACAGACTTAATTGATTCAGCTACTCACCCGGCAGTCCCTAAATCTTCGGGTATTATCCGGAACCGTCAAGTCCCATGGTGGAATGAAAATTGGACGTTAGCCATAAAAGAAAAGAAGAAAACTGTTAGAAAATATAAGAAATATAAATCGATAGAACTGGGCATATTGTATAAGAAAGCTAGAGCTAAAGCCCGCTTAACTCTTAAAAATACTATGTTACAATCTTTTAAAGATTTTACATCTTCTATTGCGGGCCAAACACCGTCCGCAACTATGTGGCATAAAATAAAATGAATTAGCGGCCCTTTTTTAATTAGCTTACCTCCAATATTAGATGAAGAAAACGGAATAAAATACAGGGGTTCTCAAGACATCTGCAATGCTCTGGCAGATTCATTCGCCAGCAATTCAAGCAATAATAACTATTAACCATCCTTTCGTAAATTAATTCCGTCTATATCCCTAGCCACTCAAAAAAACATCCCAAACCTCCTAAGTAACAACAATGATTTATTTAACTGTGAAATCCAGATTAGATGAGCGCCTTCATGTTTTAAAAAATAGTAAAATCTCTGCATCAGGTCCTGATAATATTCCTAATATTTTCTTGAAGAATCTTCCTAAATGTGCCATTGAATACCTCTTAAAAATTTATAATGACATTTGGACCTCCCAATCTTCCCCTGAGCAATTGAGAGAAGCTCTTGTAATTGCTGCACCGAAACTAGGCAAAGATTCATCACCTGTAACTTTAGATCAATATCATAGACGTGTACTCTTTGCATAGTACTAAAAAAATGGTTGGCAACCGTCTCAGATGGCTCCTAGAAACAAGAAACTTACTATCCCTCTTTCAAAATAGATTTCGACAACGATCAATCAACGACCATCTAATGAGCATCGACACAGAAATTTGTGATGCACTAGCAATTAACCAGCATGCAATTGTTATTTCGCTTGATATTGAGAAAGCTTACGAAATTATTTTTAAACCCCGACCACTAGGTAAACTTATCTCAATGAATATTAAAGGCAACTTATTGGCATTTTAGAAAAATTTTATGCAACATAGATATCTGCATGTACGTATGAAAATGTCAACACGCAGGGAAATCATGAATGGGCTTAGTTATTAGCGTGCTCCTTTTTCTGATCGCAATAAATGAAATAAGTAGTATCATAGAGGCACCAAGTAAATTATTTCTCTTCGCTGATGATATTTCCGTTGTATGCTGCGGCAAAGATATCCGAGTAACAACTAAAATTATCGAATTTATTATAATCTCTAGAAGCTCAAAACTTTTAAATGAAAATCCTGCCCTCTTTATTGGAAACCATCAAATACGTCGTACATACTCTTGTTCAATCTTGGACATGACCTTCGAGAAGACTCTTGGAAGAACCACATTTCTCTGTTAAAGTCATAATGCAAAACCAGGCTGAACGAACTGAAGATATTAGCATCTACAAAGTGGGGATCAGAGTGGAAATGTTTAATTAATGCTTATCGTGCTATTATTCAAGCCAAATTAGATTATGGAGCTGTAATCTACAGTTCAGCTAACAAATCTATACTACAGACGGTAGACCCTACTATAAATTCAGCATGTCGCATAAGTTTAGGGGCCTTTAAATCAAGCACTATCAACACCCTTAAAGTAGAAGCAGGACTACTCCGTCGACTTGCACCGGAAACAACTATTCTAAAAATTGGCTACTCAACTTTAAATTTCTCAACTAATCCGACCTTCAAATATATCTTCAGCCCTTTTAAAACAGATTACCATTTATTTCATGTGAAATATCCAAAACCACTTAGAGAGGGAATCCCAATTTATGAATTTAATATTGAAACTCCTCACATTCTACAGAGAAGGATTTACCCCATCCCTCCTTGGCAATCCTTTAAACCTAAAGTTAATACAATGACTACACAGATATCAACATCTTTCATCTCTCCAAAAATAGTTTCATTGCATCTGAATTCTCTTTATGAAGACTATCATGATTTAGAAAAAGTGTATACAGATGGATCAAAATATGAAAACAAAGTTGGTTGTGCAATTGTATCTACAACCACGCTCAATACCTTTAAATTCAAGTTACCAGAATACTTTTCTAGCTTCTCTTGTGAAGCGTGGGCCTTCCTGAAAGCCATTGAATTAGTCTCTCAAAATGGAGAAAACTGCAAAATAGTAATTAACTCAGACACAATGGCTATATGCATGTATAAATTGTATGTAATTGAATAATGGCATAACTGTAAGAAATGTATATTCTTGTGTAAATTATAAATTGATTCCCGTGGTCGCTTATGACCCAGTTGTTGAAAAGCGACCTTAAATAAATTAACTAAAAAAAAACTCGGATAAAGTAGAGTACGCTTAAAAAATGATGCTTGTCTCCTTTTTGTTGAAATCTTTAATTTTTCGAATTGCTTTAAAGTTGTTTCGGTGTTTTCCTACAACTGCAATATTGAAGATGATGGTACTATTCGGTGAACTGTCTACATTTTTAAAACTTGCAAAATGTTAATATAGCAATAGTAAATTGTTGATTATGCAGATTTTTCTCAAACGAAATCTGTACTAAAAATAACTTTAAATAAGGTATTGTATTTTTTTTAGAAAATGGAGGAGTTTTTGCGTAATTTTTGCTTGAAGTAATGGCCATTAATTTTTAAAAATTAAAGAAAAGGGCTCCAAATCTTTTCTTCATTATTTCCCTTAAAACAAGGGAAGCTTCAAAATGGCGGATTTTCGTTGAACTCTTGAGTGTTTGCGAAAATTTTAAGTCACAAATAATGCTTGAAAGTTGTATTTTTTATTTAGGACCACTATTTAATACAGTGGACCTAATGGTTGACGGGCAGAGCAAAGTAGATCCTTCAAAATAAAGCGTTAATATTTGCTTAGTTTTATTGGCATGAGCTACTTTCAAATGCGTAGTAAATTTTATAATTTTATTCAGTTTACCCAATTAATAAACATATTTCGTAAAACCTGCATGTGCTCATTAAATATTGTATTATTGTTATAAACTGTACTTCATAAGTAAATAACGTAACTTACAATAATAAAAACAATAGTTGAATTATTATAGAACAACAATGTAAAATCATAAGATTGTTTGTGACACACTATTAAGAAACAGTTAGTGGCCCTAACAGGGGATGGCAAAATAAACTTCTGCTGAATGTGTTGATAGTTCATATCTCAACACAGAAAAGTCCGAGAACAGGATCTCTTCAATGGGAGTTGCCATGACAAGTAAAACATTAGTATGTAAATGTTAATCATTTCCGTTAATTTGCACCAGCAGATATTAGTACACTGCATCTAACGACTCAGAAAGGTGTAGCATTGTGGAACTATTGAGAAACGAGAGTTACAGAAGACATTACTCTGGCCAACCAAAATGTTGTACCAAGAGAATTTTGTTTCATATTC